TACCAATCCTTTGTAAGCGGCAAATAGGATTTTTGGGTGGGCACCCCACCTAATTCCAGCAATGGCTTTGAGCACATTGATACGCGGTAGAACCCGCTTTTTAACTTCTGAAACATGTGTTTTCCACTTGAGGGAGTAATCGAAGAACGTTATTAATATTTAACAAACCGACCGCATATATACGAATTCGCGAGAGTAACTAGTCACACCACCTCGATATGACATACATATATAGCGCGCGCGCCGCCGTGCGTGCGTCTCGCTCTCTCGCTGAATTCTCGCGTGTCTTCTTTCCTCTCGCCTTTTTCCGCAACGAGCGCAAACGAGTGGCTGCTCTCGCGAGTGCTCGATTGCCTCTCGTCGTATGTACATAAGAGACAGCAACGAAGAGAGAGAGAGAGAGAGAGAGAGAGAGAGAATTTGACGACACAACCAGCGTTCGTCAGAAATCAGCGCAAGAACGACGACTGTCCGTAACGGGTCTGTTCTTCTAGATCCAACGCGGATCCAAAAGTATGTTCCAATCGCGGTCCAATGCAAGAGCGCCCAATCGGGGCTTGCGCGAGAACACACAAAGAGTCTCGAATTTCAAATGGTTTGGGAACGCGCACGGAAGAAGAAACACCGAACATATGATTTCTTCGTCCGCTTGCGCTCGTTAATTGTCAAACGCCACCGATTTCTCGACGACTGGCTATGTTGTTATAATTGAATTAAACAAAAAAATTATAAACGCAAAGACCACGCAAACGAAAAACAAAAAATGCCTCGCGGTTACGAGGGTACGAGATATATTTCGGACAAACAAATGGTAGTTTTCGATATTGGCAGTGCATACACAAAGTAATTTGACATTTGACAATTAAAATTTGATAATGTAATTCACTAGTTTTTTATTTTTCATGGGAATATAAATGCGTTTGTTTGTTCAAAACACAACAGGTTTGGTTACGCGGGAGAAGTATCTCCGCGTGGTATCATACGAACCGAAGTGAGATGTCCGGAAACGAAGAAGATACGCCGAATTATTGACTACAATGATCTCGAGGACTTGTACCAACTGCTTGTAGAATTTCTTCATCAGTTGTTCTTCAAGTACATACAATAGAAATTTACAATTTCCCACAGTTTTATCATAGAATTCTACACAATATTTATTTGTTACGCCAGACGTGTTGTCGTAAGCCCAAAAGACGCAAAAATACTGCTTCTGGAATCTCCGCTTGCAGCCACGTCGTTCAGAGATACTCTCGCAAGAGTGATGTTCAAACACTTCGAAGTTAGTTCCATATTGTTTCTACCGAGTCACTTGGCAACAATCAGTACTCTCGGCATTGACACAGCCTTGGTATTGGACGTTGGATATCAGGAAGCAACTTTGATTCCAATCTTTGAGGGAATACCGATACTTAAAGCTTGGCAAGCATTGCCCTTGGGTGGACAGATAGTTCACGAGTGAGTTTTTTTACTTCCTTCTCTTGTATATATTACATATGCGTATCTTTTAAAGATAACGATGCATTTTTTTTAATCATCTTTTTCCGCAGGAACATGAAAAATTATTTTGACAACATATCAAATGACATAGATTTATCTGAAAAAACACTGGAAGATATCAAGGTGAGAACATGTTTTGTAACCACATTGGAAAGATCTGAAAAATTGGGAACAGAAGATGCTCCCGCTCATTCTCCCGATGTTATATATCCCGGCGTCAAGAGACTCGTGATACCCGGAGAAATAAGAGAGAAAGCGTTTGAGATACTGTGGGAAAGAGATAACGACAATCTGTCTTTGTCAACTATGATACTCGACGCTATCATCAAGGTATACAGGCTAATGTTTTTTTTGTCGTCAATCAAACCCTTTATTGTATTTTAAATTAACGTTTGTAAATTGCGCTAGTGCCCATTGGACACAAGACGGATATTAGCCGAAAATATAATACTCGTCGGAGGAACCGCTATGGCAAAGGGTTTTGCAAGTCGCTTGAAATCCGAATTGCTGATGTTAGTCAAGAGCGATCTGTACAAGGAGAAGTTAAAAGTGCAATCGTTCAAATTCCATACAGCACCGAGCAAACCGAACTACACGGTATGGCTAGGCGGTGCTATTTTCGGCACAACAGATTTAGTATTGCGTTGTTTAACAAAAGAAGTTTATTTGAAGACAAGTCGAGTTCCCGACTGGCCTAATCTAATAGATAATCAAAAGGAAGAAACATATTACGAATTATAAATATATGCTCGAACGTTTTAAGTTTTTTTTTTTTAAGACTAATTTTTAATCTAACATATAATCAAATAGATAATTTGTATTTATTGATTTAATATAAATTGTACAAGCCAATCAATCGGTTCTAAGTTTAAAATAGAAATTATTTATATATATATAAATTTATATAAATAATTAGAAATTGTATATATAAATTTGTAACTGCATGATGTATCATGGTTTTATACTCTTTTTATACTTTGTTTAATCGCCAAGAGTATATAAATATACTTTAATTATAAATCTCGACTAAAATCGAATGTGTGAAGTTTTCTTAATTTAAAAAACATTTAAATTGTTTTTCATATGAGAAATTCATTATTATAAATTTTCTTTACACAGTGTTATACAGTGTACGTAATTGAACATGTTTAATTACAAAGTCGTGAGTAACGTAAGCTTTTCGTTAAGCTGCAATTGTGTTTTTATCAACTGAGATAACGCTACAACCATCAGAAGATCCTTAACATTACTATTGAACATTTCGTCAAATTGATCACTGGTCATTTTTGGAACAGAATGTACCATATCCAAGAGAGCTCGTCCTACCTGAAATAGCAGAAACATTACGCATATTGACAAAGCAATGAATTTATGAGTGAAGTAAAAAAAAAAAAAATATACGTCATAAGCTATATACTACGCTTACTTGATTGTCTGGTACTTGTTTTCCCGATAGAACATCATCAACATACGCAAGTACTTGTTCTAACAATGAAGAAAGTTTGAAACAAGCTTCCGAGACCTGTGCAAGATCCATCATGGGTTCTATTCCTCCAGCAGATTTTATTCCAGGTGCTTGAGATTGTAGTTGCGTTTTAGAACACAAATGCATCCCTACAACTTCAGGCTCGTAACATGTAATCTGTATAACAAAAACATCTAAGTGTTAAAAACCTAAATATGTGTATAAAGATATAATGAAAAAAAAATCTATACAATCTTTACAAGTTTATGTTAGATGAGTGACAACTTTGACAAACCTGAACTTTAACCGGAGTGAACATAGAACCTTGCTTGCCATTGGGTACTCCTAGTGGAACACATACATAAGCTTTGATTGCCATTCTTGTGGTATTTGCCAATGTAGTATCAACAGTCAAGTGTACCGGATTGTTACATTCTCGCACATAATACTCGTGAATAACAGAGGAATGTGTAGTAACCTAAAAACATTCATGGTTAGCGACATATATATTCTGATGGTCAGGATGTATAAAGGGTTCTGGAAGATAAATGAAACAACCTCATTGCCAGTAGCCCACCAACCAACAATGTTTTCTTGTGCATTAACTCGATGATTTAAGTCATACAGGTCCATTCCATAAGTCAGATCTGCTTCCACCTGACTTTCGGATTCTTTGTGTGGCACGCAAAAGCAGTTGGTTACTTCAACAATTCCCTTCTCCACAGTGCCTGTAAATGACAAAAGTTACATCTGTTTATTTATTGAGTTACACATATGTATAAATTATTGTGAGAGAAAAGCATTATGAACATATAAAAGATTAAATAGACTGAAATAAAATAAAATATTAGAGAGATAGAAAAAGTAGAATGTATACATTACCTAACAAGGTGCCAATAACGCGCACCGATTCTGCTTTTCTTCTCTCGTAAGCATCTACAACTTGAAACAACACAACTGGATGCACCTTAACAGTAAGGTTAAGCGCCATGGTTAGGACGTACTATGATTGTACTGTGACAATTTGAGAAACGTGCTCACGTGTTCGTCCTCAGAAAGAGTGAGAAAGGGATGCATACAGAGATGCCAGATTCTGAACACTTGGTAGCATGCGGTAGCATGGAGGGGATGCGCACAACCTCAGATCGTGTAGGATCTGAGGTTGTGTGCGCATCCCCTCCATGCCCGCATGCTACCAAGTGTTCAGAATCTGGCATCTATGGATGCATAAACACTTTTTTTTATGGCAAAGACAAGCCAGAGAGAAGACTTCTCTTTCGAATGAGCAAAGAGAACGCCATCTGTCAGTTAGGCCTGGTTTATGCGAGCAATAATTGTTAAGGCCTGGTTTATGCGGGCAAATAAGGCCTTGTTTTGGCCTTGTTTGTGCGGATAATAACTGTTAATTTATGCCGGAACCGGTAGAGTTTAACTATAGGATTTCAATGCTTTTGTTTATACAATATTGCCGAATGCGGTATAAACAGAAGTATTGAAATCCTATAAGTTAAACTCCACCGGTTCCGGCATAAGTTGGTTTGGTTTGGTGCATATATGGCTCAAAGGACCGTTTCAAGCTAGTCCATACGCCATTCTAAGTCTTTAAAAATCGTGACACAGGTCCTAAACCGTGGTTTGGGTACAAGCCACGGAGTTGTACGTTCGTTAAAATTAATGATAAACCGAAAAAGTCGGTGTAAAAACACCGAGAATTGTCCAAAAATATCTAAGCGTAACTACGCACATCCAACCGGTATGGCTGATGCAACACCACTTTTCCGGCATAAGTTAACAGTTATTGCCCGTATAAACCAGGCCTTATGGACAAGCAAAGTTCCGGAAGTTTGTCTTCTGGAATAGATGCGATGTGATTGGTTAAATTTGAAATATTCGTTGTTATTCACTTCCGTTTCGCGGGCAAATTAGTCGCAACACTCACAGGTGCGGCTTACCAGTTAAAAACACAGAATCAAACAGAAAATTCAGAATTGTTCGAGCGCAAACATACTCCACAAAGTACTTTAAAACTGAAACTTTTTCGACTGAAAGAGAAACATGCATGTATTGAAGCGAGGTAATTTAAAAATTGCTCTCTTCCGCAATCTTCTTCACCGCGTGTTTACTTCTGTGTTATTTAAATGTTTTTAAATTTAACTTTGTTATATCAGACGGACGAAAAGAGGCTGTTCATTTTGACAAGATAACCGCAAGAATCAAAGCGCTATGTTACGGGTTGGATATGAATTATGTGGATCCAGTAAGGATTTTTTCATATACTTTACATTACATGACTATAAATATATTGTAAAGATCTCACCACAGTCCTCACGCTGTTTGCAGTCTGTCATCGCTCTTCGCGTTATAAAGGAACATTTGTATTCCGGTATAAGAACGGTCGAAGTGGACAATATAGCAGCTGAAACCGCAGTAAGCCTGATCTCTCAACATCCAGATTATGCAACACTGGCCGCTAGAATTGCCATATCTAATTTGCACAAAGAAACAGAGAAGACTTTTAGCAGTAAGATGTTGTTGATCGATATTGACACCACTGTTCTTGATCAAAGCAAGGATTTGTTACAACCTGTTGCGCATTTCAGAGGTGATGGAACAACTGTACGAAGCGAAAAACCCATTCACACAGGAACGTTTGCCTATAATTGCCGAGAAGTATTACAAGATTATTCAAGCCAACGCGGACAAAGTGGATTCGGCAATCGTCTATCACAGGGATTTCAATTATAGTTACACCGCGTTTAAAATGATCGAAAGCAATCATTTGTTAAAACTGAACGGCAAAGTCGTTGAACGACCGCAACACATGCTGATGAGAGCTGCCATAGGTATTCACGGTGAAGATATCGAGAAGGCAATTGAGACGTATAATTTCCTGTCGAATCAGTATTTTGTACATTCCGTGCAGACGTTAGATTCAGCATGTACCGTTATTCAACAAATGGCTAGGTAGTTTGGTAGTTTTTATTGATGTCAACTTTGTATTAGACAATTCCAACATTCTTAATTGATACTTATTTTTTTGTTTACAGCTCATTTCTAGTAACAATGTCTGAGGATAGTATAGATGGAATATTGAATTCACTGGAAACATGTGCTCATCTTTGTCACTGCAATGGTAACATAGGTTTCAATGTGCACTGCATTCGGGCGAAGAATACGCCCATAAGAGGCACAGGAGGTGTATCGAACGGATTGGTGCCCATGTTGAAAGCGTACAACACATCAATGGGAACTGTTTTCAGAAAAGACAGGGAAGGATCGATTACCGTATATGTGGAACCGTGGCACGCTGATATCTATGAATTTTTGGAACTCAAAAGAAATACCGGTTAATAATAATCTTCAATATCTTTCGCTGTGTGAGTTTTTTTTTACATCTTTGTGTAAAATTGTTTTTTTTTTGTATATGTTATAGGTGACGAACAACTGAGGGCTAAAGAAATGTTTTACGCATTGTGGGTTCCGGACTTGTTTATGCAACGTGTTTACGACGATGACGTTTGGAGCCTGATGTGTCCGCACGAATGTCCTGGATTAATTGATTCGTGGGGTGATGAGTTTAAAAATTTATATACCAGGTAGTTTAATTTTATATCAAGTAATTTTTAAGTTTAGTTGTACACATTGCGTGAAGCATCTTGTGTGTGTAGCATCTCATAAAAGAGATTTGATTTTTATATTTTCAGATACGAAAAAGAGGAGCGATGTCGGAAACAAGTTAAAGCCAGGGAATTGTGGATTCTCATTGTTCAAATGCAAATCGAAACTGGCACGCCGTATATAATTTATAAAGATCAGTGTAATGGCAAATCGAATCATCAAAGTCTAGGCACAATCAAGTGTGCCGGTCTTTCTCCCGAGATTGTCGCTTACTCGAGTTCCAACGAAATCGCCGTGTGTAACACAGCTTCGATTGCTGTCAACATGTTCGTAAACTCAACCGAAAAAACGTTCGATTTTTATAAACTCAAAGAAGTAGCGAAGGTCATTACTCGCAATTTGGACAAAATAATTGACGCGAATTCTTGCCCTCTTCAAGAAGCGAGTTTGTCTTGTTACAAACATAGAGCTATTGGTAAGTTTGTAAAATTTCTGTGCGTAAATTGTGCCGATACGCGTTTCGCACTCATTTGCAATTCCACGTTTCATCGAACGCAGGTATTGGCGTACAAGGTTTGGCAGATGCGTTTATCTTGATGAGATATCCGTTTGAAAGCAAGAACGCTAACGAACTCAATATTCAAATTTTCGAAACGCTATATTACGGCGCGTTGGAAGCTAGTTGCGAAATAGCTGCCGAAAAAGGTCCTTACGATTCGTACGACGGTAGTCCAATTAGCAAAGGTGTAAGTATATATTCGAGAAAAAGTATTTGTTATATTATTGTTGTTTTTATTGGCTACCTACACAGATACCCGTGTCATTTAATTGTTGCAGATCTTGCAATACGATATGTGGAATGTAAACCCGTCAGATTTGTGGGATTGGGACGCGTTAAAGGCAAAAATTGCGAAACACGGAGTGCGCAATTCTCTGTTAATAGCTCAAATGTCGGACGCGTTTATGGCGCAAATGTTAGAAACCACTGAATCAATTCAACCTTATACAAGCAACATATACATGGTGCATGCGTTGTCCAAGCTATTTCCGGTTGTTAACTCGCACTTGTTGACGGATCTGGTTGAGAAAGGTCTTTGGGACGATGACATGTATAACAAAATCGTCGAGAACGGATCTATACAAGTAAATACACTTGTTTATAATTAAATTGCGTGTGTATTGAAGTGCAATATTTTTCTGACATTCTATACGTAAATATTCAAAAAAATTTTATGTGAGAGAAAATTTAAACCATTTTTGTTTGTAGGATATTGAGAATATACCTGAAGATCTGAAGTTGCTCTATAAGACTGTTTGGGAGATGCCACAAAAAATTCTCTTTGAAATGGCGGTCAGTCGTGGACCTTTTGTCGATCAATCGCAAAGTTTAAACGTTTACTTAAAAGATCCGATAGACAAGCTTACTTCGATACACTTTTTTGCCTGGGAGAAGGTAATTATAAAAATTATATATTGCACGTACGCGCGATTATATGTGGTTTGTTGATTACATATCAGCGTGTTTTTTTCTTTTTTAATGTCAAATACGCATGTTTATTCACAGGGGTTAAAATCCAGTATGTATCGTCTCACAACAGAATAACGAGAGGAAAGACATTTAAAATCGGATCGTAATGTATGAAGAAACAGCATATAACCAGGTTTCCAGACAGCACAAAAATCCGAAAGACGTTATAAAAATATTTAAGAAAATAGCCAAACGAACTTTAGACGTCTCTCTGACACATCTTTTAAGATAATTTTCGAATTTTTGTGCTGTCTGGAAAGCTGGTTTTCTAATTACCCAGCAAACAATTTCTGACTGCGCAGACCTGGCAACAAAAACTGTATGCAGAAACGCTACAATACGAAAACATGCTTCGTGTGCTGCCAAATCTGTTAACACACAGACACAAAAAACGCAACATGGTCACCAAAACTCATCAAAACCATATCCTACCGAGGACACAGATGGATATGGATTTGGTGTGGTGGTTGGCGACAAAATCGCGACATCTGACAACCAAATTGTTTGCTGGGTATAAAAATAATGTTAACAAGAAACATAATGTTAATTAATTAATAAGATTAAATGTTCAAAACATTAGTTTGTAACTAATGTATGTATACAAAAATATTGTTATATACATAAAATAAATTGTTTAATTTTATATAATAGATTAGTTCTCAACCGTATAATTAAAAATATTGCACATATAAGGAAGCTGTATCTTGAGACTCGAAAAAATATATATATATATTTGATAAAAACGTAGTGATGTTTCACTAATTCCTTTCCCTAAAAAAAAATAATAATAAAGAGAGCGTAATTAAATAATATAAATGACAAATGGTTTTTCGGTTTCCAAAAATCTCAAAAAAGAGCAATTTTATAATTAAACGTCCCGCTTTGATATTGTCGTGTGCTCATTGGCCGGTTCATTTCACGTTTATCAATGCATCGTGGTCTCATTGGTCAACTATATCGGAGCGTACAGACTTCGCAGTTCGCACTACCACGTGCGAATGTATTTGTCGACAAATGATTGAAAAGACGTAAAGCTGTTCGCGAACAGTTTTGTGAGGTTGAATTAAATCTCGAAAAAGAAAATTAATTCACAATGACTTCTCGATATAAAAAAGCCCGTAAGAATCTTGCGTTTTACACGCACAATTACAAATTTCATCAACCATTTCAAGTTCTCATCGATGGAACATTTGCGTCTGCTTCGTTGCAGGTTAGTCGTGTAACATTTTTGACAACTTGCTTGTTACAGCGATTTCGGTAGTATTAAAAGTGTATATTAAATTTTTATGTATTGCTTTCATATTGTTTTTATGTCTGTTCGATTACTGTTTTTTTAGAACAAATTCAACATACAGGAGCAAATTAAGAAATATTTTCAGTCTGAAGTAAAACTGTTAACAACACCGTGCATTATTTCGGAAACCGAAAAATTAGGCGCATTTTCTTCCTTAGTTAGCGGTGCTATACAAATCGTGAAGCAGTACGCTATACACAGATGCGGACACGAGAAGAATCCAATAAACGGTTCAAGATGTTTGCTATCAATGATAGGAAGGGAAAATAGTTCAAGGTGTTTATTCTGTTTTGAAAGAAACTTTTTTCATATAAAATTATTAGAAATTATTTCTTGTTTATTTTAGATACATTGTTGCCACGCAAGATCGCGAACTTCAAAAAAAATTAAGAACAATTCCGGGAGTACCTTTAATGTATTTACACGGGAAAACACCCACACTGGAGTCCGCTTCAAAAGCAAGCCGTGAATATGCCGAAGCTGTGCAAAAAGGTTTAGGTATGACTGTTTGGGAGAAAGAAAACGTAGAGTTGCTGCGAAAGAAAGCGGGAATAATAAACGAGAATAATAGCAAATTGAAGAAGAAGAAGAAAAAAGGAGGACCAAATCCACTTAGCTGTTTGAAGAAGAAGAAGAAACCACAACCACCCGCAGTATCAAGCAAAACTGGAATAAAATCTGGTAAAGTCAGAAAAAAGAAAAACATAAAAATAGCAGCCCATGTTAAGGACGCATTAGCAACAGAACTGAAAAGTAAACATAAAACGTAAGAAATTATTTATATATGTAAAAATTGCATATTTTGAATTTGTGTATTACTGTGAATATAATTTTTAATATATTTTTAATAAAATCGAAACGTTAAAGAAAGTTTAAAATACATATTAATCATATGTTTTTAATACTTCGCACACATATCTCCTTGTGTTTGACAGAAAGTTTTATTTTTTTCAAGACACAAAAGAAAAAATGTGATTAAGGTGTTCTAAAGTAATCTATAAAATTATATATTTAAATATATTATGAAAATGCTACAGAATAGGTAGTAAAAATAAGCAAAAAAAAAGTAATAGTTGTAGGAAAAATGTACAAATATCTTTCACAATATAAATGTTGAATAATATCAGAAGATAACTATTTCTTAAGATGTCTAAATAGTTTATAGAACACACATAAATCTGGAATTAGGAACTTCCACATGTAGAAAATAATATAAAAAATGTTGAAAAATAATATTTTAAATATAAGTGGCACGGTATTATTTACATCTTTATACTAAAAGAAAATGTTCAAAGGTATGTAATACTATATTATATATGTGTGTGTGTAATATATATGTATATAAAATAATAATAATTAAGCAGTAGCAGATCTACATTTCAAAGTTATAACTCGAAAGAAACACCTCATGTAAAAATAGTTTTTACGTAAAGGAACTGAAATACGTAATTGTTATAAAATTGAGTTTAAGTAAATTAGATTGGGTTTTCAAAAAAACAAATCCCTGTGATTTCTTCTTGGATAAAAACCTTCAAATATTCAAGATTTATACATAATAGAACGTTCTGCTAATATTATTAGTATTGTTATAAATTACTTATTATTTATCATAAGTTTTCTTTTATATAATATAGATTTCTCATACCTTTCCCCACTTTAAGAAAACGGACTATCACAGTTTGAGAAGTGATATGTGACATCTCAAAGTTAGAAAGTCTGAGCTTTGTTAGATTTTTTTTCTTTTTTGTAAGATATAAATATAAATCTGCCACTGCTATAAACAATATTATTTTACACTTAATATAAACATTTTAATTTAATATTCAATTAAGAGAAGTCTATACATTTTTTATCCTAATTCAATTAAATATTATAAGTATATTATAATTACAGTTATAATCAATATATCACACAATATATATCATATATAAATTATAAACATAATTATAAATACTCCATAATATTGTTATTATATAATTATCACATGTGGTGTTACTTACTCCAATAGATTTTTCTAGTTCACAAATCACTAGTCACAAAAATATATAGAATCCTTTTTCAGAGTTAGAAAATCGTGCGTCTAAACAACTATTAAGCAAGAAAGTTTCGTTTCATAATTTTAAAATTGAGAGGTTTTATAACTGCGTTCTTTATTTATAAATATGATTCATCAGGGATTATGAAATCTATGCACCGCCTTTACGTTTTACACATAAGTCAGAGTTTATGAAAATTGAAGAAAATAAGTGTCACACATTAGCTTATACAGGTTTCAGAAATTTGTGTTTACTTGTTGGTTCGCCACACACATGTAGTCACACTGATCTCTGACACAAGCAATGTTTAACTTTTCAGACAATCAAACAAAACCAAAAAAGAAACAAAATTTCTTATCAGCGTTAGTACTGAATAATTCCTGACAATCGTTAAATTAACAATAGAAAATAAACTTATATAACTTAAAACATTCTTTCAGTATTACACCTAGAAAATTAATGAAAACTGCTAATCGTGGAGTAGAACACATGGATAAAGACAGATTAGTAGTAGTAGTTTTTTTTTTTTTTTTGAAGTGTTTCTCCAACCTTGTAACTACTTCCTAATAACATGTATCGACTAAAATACGACTTTAATAATTCTCTGTTGAGCTATTAGCGTAACTTTGATTCTATCTTTTGATATAAAAAATCAAACAAAAATAAAAAGATAACAAATTTCTTAGAAACTATTACTTCTTTTTCGAAAATTTTTTAAAAGAATTATTTGGAATAATATCGTATCATGTACGAAGTGTCGCTTCCAAGGCTAGAGAGAATTAAAACGTTTGTTAAATCACACATTTAACAAAATCACACATCAAATAAAATTAAATCTGAATGTTTGATGAAAATAGCGTGTGTTAACAGAGGGTGCTTTCCAACTACGTACACAGACGACACTGTGTAACACAGTGTCCATTTGTGTGAGAAAGAGCATATCAGTGTGTCTCACTCACACTAGTGGACACAGTGTTATACAGTGTCGCCTGTGTACGTAGTTGGAAAAGCACCCAGATATACATAATATGTGTTCTATGAATTACCAGTCTTAAACACTTCTGTGTGTGAATATTGCTGTTAGACAATAGTCTCTTTTGTTTAAATAAAACATAGAAAATCTTATATGGTATCGTCTTTGTTTGAGTTTGCGAACGACGGTCAAGGATGCTGACCCAGCAACGCACGTGCAGCCATAGCGAGCATTTTCATTCGGCGCGTCGACCGATGATTCGGATTATTTGTTACAAACGCAGCTAATTGATTTTGTAAAGTCATTAACACTGTGCCCATATGTTCTCGCGTCACAGGATCGTTAGGATCTAAATTTAGTATTGCTTCCTCCAGCCACCTGCCAAGATAAATAAAAAGAGTCTTAACTACAGTTTGCAAACAGGACGGGTTTACATAAAGACATTTTTTATAACAACAAATGACACACAAACGAAATAAGTCATAATCTGCATGCGCGAATTAATTAAATGATGAATCACCTGTGTTTCAATTCCGTACGATGTCCTAAATCAGCGGATAACTGTTGAACAAGCGAAAGGATCACGGGTTGCTGCAAGATGCATCTTGTACCTTGTCCTTGCGCGTTTGGGCATGAAAATACTCTGGAAGGTTCTGTTTTCTCACATACTAGCACTACTAAGCCTAAATCGCTCGCGCTCAGAGCTTGTTGGAAAGCTGCGTTGAATTGGCCTCGTTGAAGAAGAGACATCACACGTGCCTGAGCGTCAGCTGCAGTAGTTGCCGGTATAGCGGGTGTCGTAGCTCTTGATCTAAAAAAATTTAAAACAAAGAAAGAATATATATATAAATGAATTTATCCTACCGGCGATATCGCATTTCGAACACTTTTGAATGTTTCTTACCGCGCGGTAGACATTTCCGTAAATTGTTGGCTGAGATTTTCTCGTATAGAATCGCGAACTGTGCGTATGGTGTTATCTTGCAATCTGGTCAGAGCTCTGTTCAGTTCAGTTTGTAGTTCTTCGCGTACTAATGCCGATAACGATTCGCTCAATTGTTCGTAACGACGCTGATGTTGTTTTTCAACAATGGTCTCGACACTTTGCAAATCTATAAAAAAAAAAAACAAATTACGTTGTACATATAAACGACAATTAATTATCTTTTCTCAGATGACAGAAATAATAAACTACTCACACTCGCGAGTACCATTGAAAAAAGCATCTTGAATTTGCTGGAACATAACTTGACAAACCTTTTCCATACTAGGCAGGAAGTAGGTGGAGAACGTTTCTTTGAATGCAGCATCTAGTGCTGGCTTTGCTGCGTTTGCAGCTGTCAAAGCTAAAGTATCTTTTACATTTACACTACTTATTAATTCGGTTATATTTTTTTGGAAGAGTTCGTCCATTTGATTCGCATCTAATCTCATTTGTTGCTTCAGAGGCTTCACCGTATCCTCAACTGTACGTGGTAAAGTGCTTTCAATCTTATCTTTGATCATCGTCTCGAAGTTGTCTAAGAATTCATGTTGTCGAGCCATTTGATTGTATAAAGTTTGTTCCAAGGTTGCATTCTGCTGCTCGGCCATTCTCGCGAAAGCGGATTCTATTCGCGTGGTTATTGGCGTTTCTTGCTGTAATCTATTCACCTCCGCGCGCAACACTTTCAACTCCTCACTTTGATCTTGAATTACTTCCATAATAGATTTCAATTTGTTGCTTATTTCGAGATTAGTCTCGTTGTACAAACGCCAAGATAGTACATTGTCATCGGTCGGAAGAGTTGCTTTCGGTTCATCCGGTGTTTTCTCTCTTTGTACGGTATTCTCATCGTCTTCGGGAAATTCCTCCGATTCTTGCATCGCGTGCACGTCCTTGAGTAAAACCATTGGGATGTTAGACCAATCCTCGGCTCGATCGGTATTCGTCTTCGTTTCCGGCTTGCCGTCGATTTCGTTCTCGTCTGATTTTGAAAGAGACAAAATTTCTCTCACCTCTCTGGACGGGCTGCTGCCGTTACTGGCAGGAGCCTGATCTTCCATCTCGTTTGATGATGAATGAATGAGCGGAGGATCAGATACGTTGAAAGCTTGCGCTGCTTGCGCAAGAGAAGGACTGTTGGATAAAACTTTTCTATTTCTATTATTGTTTACTATTTCCGGACTTTCGGGAGTGGATTCCAATTCGGTATTCTCTTTCTTCGCGGGCGAGCTGAACGCGTCGGGTGTCATCAAGTTCAAACCGCCGGTACTGTGATTGATCGTTGTCTCAATTGTGCCAGATAAAGCGTGTTCCTCTTTGCAATTCTTAGCAATGCCGTTCTGATTAACAGTTTCTGTCTCTGGTAAATCGTTAATATCCATCGCAATTTGTGCAAGTATGTTCATGAAACGGCTGTTTTGCGAAGCAGGTTTAAATGCAATGTGACACTCCTGCAACGACTTCGGTTGGACTAGAAACATGTTAATGACAAGATGTTCATCGTTATCATCGATCTCTTCCATTGAACACAGATCTTCCAGCAATTCGCCGGTTGATCGTATTTTACGTTGGGCGGCGTCGACGATTCCGAAACTCAAAATTGGATACGGCAAGAGAAATTCCGATATTGCGCTCACACAAGCTACCGCTTCACTTTTATCTTTTGAAAGACTTAATATATATAAAATTTTGTTATATATGTCTGACAAAAAGAGATATCCGGCGCTAAGATCTAATCCCGCTTTCAACACCGGCATTTTGCCGGTGGAAGGATTTGGAGCAAATTTAATTGTTTGTAAACAAGTCCACACTTCGCAGGACCATACTTTCAATTCTGTATTATTGTCACATCCTGTCACAGCAAACCTCCAAAACTGGACACTGAAGAAACAACACATTTTCTTCAAATTGCAAGTCTATTTGGTGAACACGCGCGTCTACAGTAAGCACCGGATAAGAGCCAAATGATGAGATGTTCAAGCATCAAAATAGAAAACGCGATACGCGTTTGTAACTAAAATTTTTGCTCTTATCCGATGACCACTGAATATTAAACCGATTAGATGATTTTGAAACACTCACTCGGGTAGATAATTTTTGTGATCGTCGAGGAAAAACAAGCAAGAAATAGGCCGCCCTTCATGAGGTCTCCACTGATGTAAACAACGCGGCTGTGATTGATTATTGTGAGAATTACTGTGCAAGTACACCTGGAAGAACTTAACTTGTCCATCTGCACTGGCTGTAGCTAATGCAGTACCATCTGGACTAAGCGCTGCCTCCACAATCATTCCTGAATGCTGGTCGATTTCCATCATACTTCCGCCTTCCTTGAGAGCTGGATCTGTTGCCTAATATAAAAAAAAAACAATTGAAAACAGTTTCTCACATATCTTGCTCTGCTATTTAGTCAAACACTGTGAAAAAAATGTGCGCTTACATCTACTGATTGATATTTCGACGCGTTCGTGACCGACCACAATTCGACCTTGGTACCACGAGTCAAAACCAACAGTTTTGATACCTCGTCACCGTCGGAAGAATCGTCTTCTGGGATGTACGGACACCAGATAACACGGTGATTAATTCCAGAAATATCTTCGGCATCTACTTGTAACACTAAACTACATAATAATTCAGACGGCGTTGGTTCGATTGTGTGTATAAAAAGTGTTCCTGTACAATCAATACATGCAAGAATTGCATTTGAAACATGGGCGAACGCAAGATCTTGAATAGCACCACGCATTCCTCGCAGAAGAGCTCTATGTTCTAGTTCCTTGTATACAACACGAACTACTCCACCACCTGTACCAACTAAAAGACGGAAAAAGTTTTGAGTGACAACGTAAATATTCGCTTGAAAGATTAGATTCAATCGTACAAACGCGAGTAAAGAAAAAAAAAAAAAAAAGCAGGATATTATGATATATTATCTGCAACAAGATCACAGCAAACAGCAATCCTACTTAATGTTACCTTTTATACCATAAGCTAAGTATTTTCCAGAAACATGAACGGCCAACAATTGGCCGGCGTACAAATGATGTTCCCATGTGAAATCAACAATGTTTTTCAACTTCACTTTCGAACTGCCATGATCATGATCACCGGGGGAAGGATCTATAGTTACATTTGTGCTATATATTTCCACTGAATGTTGATTCTCTTGTCCATTAAACTGCCTGTGAGGACAAAATGTTCTAAATCAGTATACTTTTTTATGTGTCTGTACAATCTATATACAAAGTTACAAAAAAAAAAGAAAATGATATAAATTCAGGTACAAATGATATATCATGGAAGGTTGTGACATTGAAATTAGAAGTGACACATGATGCCGCAGATAAGAGATGGGGGAAGTACAAATAACTTGCTGACTTTACATTACTTGCTGACGTCATATGATACAGAACAGTACGGTATCTTTTAATTGTGTGTACAATACAACTTGGTTTTCAAAAATTTCAAAGCTCTTCTTGTTAGAACGAACAAACTAAGAGTGTTTGGTCAACAAAGATCTTTGCAATTTCTCAAAATTAATCAGCAATTTTAAGTTTTAACAACACAGTTGTTATTTCCATCTAGTCATGAACACACATAAAAAACAGAACTAGTTTTATCATTTATCTGTTTGCAATTATGTAATCGGAAGAGAAAATTGCTGTTTATTTGAAAAATGTAGCTTTGTGCGCAGACCTGTGTTAATCAGTTCTGTTCTCTACACAGTTTGGCAAACGCAAATTACACAGAGAGAGAGAGGGAGTTTCAAAATGGTTTTTTTTTTTTTTTAGATTTTTTTGCAACTCCGTTTTTTCTAAATGACGATCTCTCGGTTGGCTTACACTGTCTGCGGATAATGAACTGCCAGTCTGTCCTCCCCGGTCTTGATCATGTCGTCGGCCACGTCCCTGAAAGACAGAGAGCGAAATATACAATAAAATCCCTCGGAATTATGCGATTTCCTAACCCTTAACCGGTGGCCAACAAGCAACGTGCCCCGCGCGCGCATTGTTGTCGCCGCAGTCTCGCTGCGAGATAACAATCGTTCCGTCCGAACTCACCTCTCAGGCATAAATGCCGGTTGTTCGCTGTAACGTTCCGGATGAATGAATCAATCGACGAACAGTCGCGAGCTCATTACCGGCGCGTTCGCACGTTTTTATTGACGATGAAGCAGAGAGCAACGCGGAACAGATATTCAATTCAAGGGAGTTCAGCGAAAGTGAAACGTCAGGCGGCCATCACCCACTTGTCAGTAAACGAAGCGGAAGCCAGGCTGGCCAACCGATCGCGTCGTCGGGACATGTAATATACATATATACATATAACACGTAACGCTGAACAACACACTGTGTACGTAACTATAAATAAAACCGCATGACCGCATACACGAAAGAAAGAAAAACAGGTGTAAATATATATATATATATATATGTATATTTACACCGGTGCGCTTATATACACATCGAGAGTACGTATATATATGCGTCGCTTGCGACAGTGAGTTTGGTCGCTTGCGTTACTCACACTGCAAACTCATTCCAAAGAAATTGACCAATCGGACGGTAAAGGATGATCATTGAAGTGATCTACGAAACTTTTTTTTTTTTCAAAAAATCTGTCTTCACGCTCGGTTTACATCTATTTTTTACATTTATTTTGAATGCAAAAGAAGAGATGAGACAACAAGCGCTACAAAGATTGCGTATCGTTGTTCACCGCCAGTGTTGAAAAGTTCACAAATTTCCGGTACGTTAATTTCCTTGCGTTAAATTTCAGAACGCAGTCACTAAGGCCTGGTTTATGCCGGCAAATAAGACATTGTTTTGGTCTTGTTTATGCGGGTAACTGTTAATTTATGCCGGAATTGGTACATTTCAACTATAGGATTTCAATGCTTCTGTTATATTCTGTTATGCTTATGTTAATAAACAGAAATATTAAAATCTTAGGCCCGCATAAACCAGGCCTAATCGCGGAGATATATCGATGTGTCGAAGGTGGCGTTCCGAATTCGAAATATCGACTTTTCAGTATCGAGATAAAATGGCGGAAGTGGCGGACGTCGTTGTGTGAAATATCGCGCGCGGGGACGATGTCGTCGCGAAACGCGGATTTAACGCGACTTTTCCCGCGAAAAAGGTACGTTTGTCTGATCAAAAGGAAATACCGAGTAGAGATTTTTCGATTATGAGTTTCTTGTAACCGACAACAAATGTTTTTCACCGCTTTCAGATAAAGTTGCTAACATGCCGATGATTATAGAAGATTCGCTTCGAATTGGCTGCGTGTAATCCGTGCGACGGAGGAAAGTCGTAAGTGTATTACTTGACACTTGTAAAAAAAATCTTTGCGTACAACAGAAAAAAAAAACTATCTAAAATAGAACACATGTCGATATTGCATCACGTTAACATGTGGATATAAAAAGCGCGGGATAAAAAATCTATCGATCGGAGATCTAGAGTAGAACAAGCGCTTTTCCAGGTAAACAAATAAATAATCAAATAAATAAGACAAATATTTCAAGCGATTGTGAAAACAAACAACTTAGATATGAAAGTCAAAAAGATACGTTCAAGATAAAAGTAATAATTTTTGAAGAGTTAAATGTACGCATAGAATATTCCCGGTAAAAAATTTTTCATGTATAAAATTGTACGGACATATTCGGCACATGTAAATTTGCATAATTAGATATAATAATTTTAATTTGCGTATAAGTATATATGATTATATATCAAAAAATTTTTTAAAGATATAGTAAAAATATAGTTTTATATAATTTTTTTGTATCTGACATGATAGAGTTATTTTATAATTTGATATGAAATATCTCTGAAGTCATTCTCTTAACACATTGTTGACCGGTCACGAGTTAACTCGTGATGCGTTTTGTGTACCATTACGGCAGTAATGGTACACAACGGCTTTTATATTTGTAAAAGCTGTTGTGTACCATTACACGTAGGTGATTGTTATACTGCTTATCATACGAAAAAGAAATATTAAAAGTTGAATAATAAATAAAAGTTATTAAAGTTTATTTTTATTGTTTTACTTCCACTTCCAATTACGAAATAATAGCCGGTGACATGAGATAAATTTTCAGTAAAATTGCCGGTCAACAATGTGTTAAAAAAAAGAAATTCTCCGTGTATAAAATTATGTATGGACACATTCGGCATGTAAATTTGCATAATTAGATATAATAATTGTAATTTTTGTATAAATATATATGAAAAAAGTTTTTACCGGGTTAGGTTTTTACTTTTTAAATATTTAGATATTTTTGTTTCATAAAAATGATGAGAGAGACGATTTATATAGAAAAGACGCACGTATTACGCGGTAAATTTACACTTTATTATTTCTTATATTTTATATTACACTATAGATTTTTTTTTTTTTTTTTTTTTTCATTCGCATACGTGTCTATCTTTTGGAAAATGGCAGTAGTGCTCAAACGTACGTAGACCCAAAAAAGGTCGCGGTAAATTCAGCTAAATGTCAGATACTCGTAAGTAGCGCTTAAACGACTAAAACGCGTACGTTTCGTATGCCAGACATCTCGTTATATCGGATCGTGTGTGTGATTTCTCGTCGAAAGCGAGCGGAGAAAAGCGAATCGGACATAACACACTCAAAAGTATCATGATGGATGATTCTCCGTACTTTCAACAACAACACGTATCGTTATTTTTTTTGTATAAATTTTGCGTGTGACACAAATGATACGTAAATAATTTACAAAATTTCACCACGCTTTCCAGTCGTGCGAGAAAAATAAATTAAACAAAACAAGATCGACACGAGAAACTTAATTGCAATTGAAAATTTCGCGAACAAACCCGAGAGATCAACAGAACTGTGTGTATGTTTTTTAATTAAAAAATACTAACAAAATATTGAAATGTGTTTCTGTCAAATATAACGAGGAAAAACATTTTTATTCCCGATAATCTCGCTATCAAATAAAAATCACGTCACGCGCGAACACGAATAAGATAAATGTTATTCGCAGACAATTTTCTGTCGAGTAAAGTCGTCTCGCGCCGTTATTACTTTTCTGCGTATTGTATCATCGCACGCTAGATATTCGTTTTCCTCTGGTTTATTTTACACACAATTCGCACAGCTCGAAAGCGATCGTCAGTTTCATTCTCATTTCGCTCGGACGGTACGTAGACGCAGAAAATAGTGGGAAAAATGTTGTTTTTGTTGTTGATTTTTTACATCCGATTCACGCTTCTTCGCGACCGCATACGCTTATCTTGTTTCCTTGCGACGAAATAGTTTTAAATGTTTGTTCTTGAGAGCTAAATATGTTATTTCCCCCTAAGGATGTTTCTTTCTCTCTCGGAGAATTATCGTCCTGGCACATCGCACGATTTTTTTTCTCTCATCATTGCGGATGATTGCGCACTCGAATGTTCCAGAGCGAGCTCGCGTCGTTCGCAAGCGAAAGAAAGGTAATATAATCTTTATTACGCCGCGGTAAACGAGTAAAGGTGTTTTTTTCTTCTTTTGTTTTTTTGTTTTGTTTTGTTTTTGTTTTTTTTTTTTTTTTTTTTTTTTTTTTTTTTTTTGGGTCTGTTTTCACACATCACGTTACACAATGGCAAAGCACACTGAGACACTGCGCCAATCCAATAGAAAAACGATATTGTTTATTGTGCTGTTAGTTATTCACAGATCGAAGAGGAACGCGATAGTGTTCCCTCATCGCGCGCGCGGCGACTTGTCATCTCTTTTGTCGCTTTTTTTTTTTTTCTGTTTGTCAGAGCTCGATCGCTAGTTTTAGATTTTAACGACACGAAAAATTAAGATTCTTCTATCGGTTATACAAGTTCTGTTTTTTTTTTTTTTATTTTATATAAAGCGTGATATCTCGATTTTTTGTTTTTTTCTCTCTGTCTCTCTTTCTCTCTCTATATAGCAACTCTATATGTGTCTTTACGTAATATATTAATATAATCGACCGCGTGTGAAAATTATCACCGGAAATTATGCGCAATCGCGATTTCAAAAACACAAACAACGACAATCGGCGAACGCCGATCGGTGCGGGAAGAGAAGCTAAAATCATTCTACCTTACGGAGATAATGTTGTACTTTGAATTATCAATAAATTGTAAACCCCCTAAGCTATTTTTCCTTCGCCTTTTTCAGCATCTCCTTCTAAAATCATAACTACAATCGTCACTCATTGTTTATTTAAAATCTATTCTGTATGTATATATATATATATGTATATATTATATATATTGTATGCAAGTAAAATCTAAACAGCCGTGAGAAATGCTGCAAAAATGACAGTTTAATTGTTTACAAAAGATCGAGGAGTCTCTCCGTTTGCACTAAGATATGAAAATTTAAGATCCATTTTTGTTTTTGTTTTTTTTTGTTTTTTTTTTTTTTTTTTATCATTATTACATGCATTTACATATCGAGAGATGGTCCCTGCGGGATTTTTAATAAACTGTATGTGTTCCTTTGTGGTTGCGCGCGCGTTAATTTACAAAAGCACAAAACTCCTGTTTCTCTACATTTGAAATTCGAGAGAAATTGATATCTCGGATGTTGTTAGTTCTATTTTGTTAGTTTTTATTGGAGTAACAAAAAAACGTGTCTGAGAGAATGGAAAATATACAAATTTGTCCAACTTTAATTATATAGACGATACGATTTTTCTTTACGATTATCTGTGTCAGCTATTTTGTTGATGGAAAAATCTCAGCAAATTTGTTTTTTTTTTTTACGGAAATATAGCAAGAAATGACAGAATCGATCGTTATTGGTGTACAAAATTTCCGAGTGCGACAGTAACAAGGAGGGAACAAGAAAAACGCTTCGATCTAGCATGGAGGGGGGGAGGGAAGTCGTTAATAATATGTAAAGTACAGACGTAGATATACATGTATATAATGCAACGAGATAAAAACGAATATTAATAAATTTGCAAGAAATTTAATTATATATAAATTTCTTGCGAGAGAGAGAGTTACACAAAGTGCGAACATACGCGGTTGAATTAGATGTGAAAACGTGCGCGAGAAGGTACAATATTATAATTCTTAAACAACAATTTATTTAAAATTAATAAAGCGCGAGATAAAAAAAAAACAAAAAAAAGAAAAGAAATCGCAAAAATATATTTCATATTACCGTTCCAACGATTCCGCAATTTGTGATTTCTCGTTTAATATCTATCCTATCAACAACCGAACGTTTTAACGCGCAATAACGTTTTTTGCGCAATTTCACTCGCTGATATGCTTACGATATATTGCTCCGACTTATAAAACGTACGAAAAAATAAATATGTACGAATAAATAAATAAATAATTTATATTTATATAACGTCTTAAGCGCGTCATCTTTTTCTTTTACGAGCTAAGCTCCGGTACAAAAAATCTAGACTTAAATAGAGAGATGTGTAGTGTGTGAAAATTTTTTTACGGACGGATTCGTGCAAAGGAGAACCAGAATCAGGAATATTTACGTCACTTATCACACAAGCGAAAAATCATCGACCAGTCCGTTTTGCGCGAGTTTTCGCTCATCAGCCCTTTCTATACGCTAGAAACACTATGTGGTTGTTCGGCGATTTGGTCTTTTGAAAGAACACGTCGTATTCGCGCCGAGTCGAAAAAGCGGTTTGTCATTACAACTCCACTCTCGTTTGCACGACGCCGCACAGTTCGCCGTGTTGGTGTTTTTTTTTTTTTTTTTTGCCTATTTGTTTTGCGTAGTTGATACACACATATACGCGCCGGTCGATCGGCACCCACACGCACCCACACACACACACACACGCGCGCGCGCTAAGAACAAGCGGCAGACTCAAGATTTCTGAAGCGCGAGAATTTCCGTCAAGCAATCAATTCGCGCGCGAATTAAATCGCGTATGATGTACATACACACACACTTTTGCGCATTAGAGACAAACAAGCTGAATCGCGTAATGCGCCGCTAAAATCTTGGAAGACACTTGCAAATAGTCGTGAAACGAAAGTCTATCGACTCACAGTTGAAAACAAGTTGAAGCAATGTACACAATTTATCGTAAATGCGATCGATACTTTTTTTTTGCTCGCTTTTACGCCGCCGCCGGTTGCGGATAACAGAAACATTGGAAATTTTTTATGTTCAAACACAGAGACGGTGTCGAGCCTACCGCTATGGCAATTCGCGAGACTGGGACACACGTACAATCAGCTCGGTTGAATTCTGTGTGAAAAATACTGTACACAATAATATATCTAACGCTCTCTCGTTTTAACGCTCGCGTTTTCGTCGCGTTTTCCTCGGACGAGTATCGTGAAGCTCTGCGACTACTACGTACGATGAAATCGATATATTAAATTTTCGCGATAACAAAGAGGAATAAACGTGCCGGAACGATGACAAGACTGGATAGAGACTGGTAGAATTGATATTTTGATTTTTTGTTTGTTTGTTTGTTTTTTTTTTTTTTTTTTCATTCGATCCGTCCTCCCTTCGGTAAAAGCTGCCGTGTTCACCTCCTTAAGAACCGGAAGAAGCCCTTGCTCTTATCCGGCGGCGGTGCCATCAGCATTGGTACTTGATTTTTATGTGTGATACGAATCTGCGTTGGAGAGAAACACTCTTATATTTTTTATAATTTGTAACTTATATGAAATTAAAAAAATAACAAATATGTATTCGGTCATGAGAGCCGTTCGCTAGGTGTTGTGCGGAAATTATACGTGTATATATATACATATATACGTGTTCACGTGTAAATTTTTACACGTGAAATTCGAATTGTAATAACAATTCTAAAATTCATATAGAATGCTATACTTGCATCTCGTATATGAGAAATCCCAAATACCCCCTTAATTGAGAAATTAAATTTATATTGCGAAAAAAACTTCTCGGCCAGGATTCCAGGTTCGACTCCCGGCCGAGGAGTTTTTTTTGCAATATAAATTTAATTTCAATTAACCCTTTGAGTGCTGAATACTCGCGGCCTATGCAGCTCGTACGGACGGCGCGCGGCTGACGCTGATGATCGCCGGGGACTGAATACTTTTTGCGCAGTATGGATCTTGTTGACGGTGTATGACACATTCATAATCAGAAAATCGTCATCATAGCTGTCACTTAACTTTGCCGTTTCATCCAGGTCGTCATCACATCGATGGCTTTCGCTGGACGCATATGTGCGCCCATAGCACTCAAAGGGTTAAGGGGGTATTTGGGATTTCTCATATACGAGATGCAAGTATAGCATCCTATATGAATTTTAGAATTGTTATTACAATTCGAATTTCACGTGTAAAAATTTACACGTGAACACGTATATATGTATATATATACACGTATAATTTCCGCACAACACCTAGCGAACGGCTCTCATGACCAAATACATATTTATTAGTTTGGAAACTTCGGAGCCTTAAAAGATTCTTTAATTGTTAAAAAAATAACGACAGGAGAGTTTTGATAAGATATATTTGTCGAGTGAAGATTTTAAGAGCATGTAAATTGTTCTCTGTTGCAAAAAATATATCGTATTATTATTTTGTTCGCAGTTCTCACCGTGCAAGGTCCCTGCATCCACGGTTCCCCGTCGATTTGCATGGGGAATCGTTTGTTCGTGGTGATGGTCACGCTGCTGCACTGGGCCAATCTTCTGCCGGAATGTCGAAGCCCGGTCTTCACCTGACCCATGTGCAGACAGTTCTCCAAACCGATTACCTCGATGAGATTGTCACCGATGTCTGCGAAGAGCGCGGGTGAGTTTAGCGATATCATTGAGAAAATGTTTTTTTTTTTATTTGCAAATGTGTGAAATGCTCCTACCTTGAATGGCGGCTGTGAGATCTACGGAATTGAAGCTACTTGTACTGAATTCCTTCTCGGGTCGCTTTTTCCGTTTACCGAGGCGATTCCGCGTGTGATGCTCGCCCCAGAGGTTCGAACCCCCGTGTGTGAACGGAATGTTTAGCAATGCGACTCCCTGCAGAGATGGCCCGTGAGCCAAATCCAGAGGTGTACCGTCGCACTGAAACGTACGTAAACGTCACGAATTCCATTGATTCCGTCGAGCTGACTGATTACAGATCTGACTAACACGTGTACTGGAGGAAGGGAAGAAGGAGAGAGAGAGAGAGAAAGAGAAGTTAGAACTAGTCGCGCTTAATTTCCCGAATTGATCGCGTTTGATCTTCCAATATATTAGGTCTACCGGAAAATTCTCTGTCCGTTTTTGGAATAAAACAAAATAGAAATTTTTCTTAATTTTTCAAAAATGGGATATACAAATTGCCCTCACGCTGGCAAGAAATCATTAATAATAATGACAATTATATTATTTAATAAAGTTTATTGACGGTAAGAAAAATTTGTATTTTGTTTTATTCCAAAAACACGGACAGAACTTTCCGGTAGATCTAATATATATATGCAATATTCTTGATTAATCCCGATATTTCGAATATTCGCAGCTCAATTTGCAATGTTAGTTTTTTTATCAATTAAACGCGTTATATATAACAAACGTCGATCCAAGTGTGTGTACTCACAATTATTTCGAGATTCTCGTGAAGATTTTTACAACTCGCGGCGAACTGCTCCGTGGTCGCGTATTCGAAATACCACAATTTATTCTTCATCCGGCTGTTGAACTTTTCGGGATTCTTTTCCCTTTCCATGTGGAATTTCACGCAAATCGCTGCGTCGACGCCCACCGAGAAGTAATTGTTGATAATATTGTACGGTATGCTGTCCTGATTCGTTTTCTTCTCCTCGTTTTGATTTGTAACTTCTATCTGCCAGCGATCCATCATCACTTGCTCCGCCTTTTCTATTTTCTACGAATTAAGGTTTAAGTTTTTTTTTTTTCCCAATATTGTTGTTTGTTTGAATGGGTTCTTAACGATATTTCAAAATTTTCCGGTTGTAGTTGGGCAAGTGTGAACCATTTGCAGGGTGTTTTGCAATAAATAAATCTGCTAATTTTATTTTCCAAACGTTTCGGCTTTATTTTTAATCTTCTTCAGTGGATTTCTTTATAGAACACTTCCTCCTGATTTATCGAATGACGAACATTTTATGGTTGAATTACAAGTTAAAATAGTTTGTGTCAAATGTAAAATTTTGTCTGTGTTTATAATGTGCGAGTCAAGAGTTTACGTCATTACTATCATAGTAATAAAGCCGAAACGTTTGGAAAATAAAATTAGCAGATTTATTTATTGCAAAACATCCTGCAAATGGTTCACACTTGCCCAACTACAACCGGAAAATTTTTTTTTTTTTTTTTTCACAATTGTTGTAACGCAAGCTGTAGCGGAAAACAAATTTACGTGTGATTTAAACGTCTTCGTAGTCTCTCGTGAATATTATCGTATTATCTTACCTTGAGCACTTTATGCACCGCTTCCCCTTCATAACCGCCGCCCCATCTCAAGCATCTGGCGAGATCGTTGCCCGTACCGAGTGGTATTACGCCAACGGCTGGTTGTTTCTCGAATTTCACGCGATCTAGATTAAGTGATTTACATAAAAGCAATTATATCATAAAACATGTATCACAATATGTTAATTACACAATTAACACAAGCAAAACACTATTCACGTGATAGTTCATTTGAGGCAACACGCATTGAAATAATTAGTTCATCATCAGTTAATAACGGTTTATTGCAATGCGCATTGTTTGTTAGGATTATGCGAGTGATGTTGAACAAACATATAATTTATTAGCATGCGTTAAACTCGCGCGTAATTGTCGAATAATTAGCATAATATTACGTTGCAAACATCACGCGTCGGTTGAGCGCGTTCTCTATCTCGCGTGTGTGTGTGTGTGAATTGGTTTTTTTAAACGCGCATCAAATCAAACGTTATTATTATCGAGAGAGACGTACCCATAGTTTCCAAAACCCATCCGACCGTTCCGTCGCCTCCGCAACAAATCACTTTGAAATTATCCACGTCCTTGAACATTTGCAAGCCCTGCATCGGCCCGCCGATCGCCAGATTGTGAACTTGCCGAGGATTCAGAATGTACTGAAACTTTCGCAACATTCGCTCTCCTTGTCGGCCGCCCGATTTCGGATTTATGAACACCAGAAGCGGCATCGTGCCTTCCGGCGGTGTAATTTGAAATGACATAGCGGGTTGCTGATTCGACGAGCTACCGGAGCTCAGGTAATCGCCCTGTTGGAAACACACACATATTTATGTTTTTTCGTTCGTGTCATCACGACCTTCAATTTCTTATTTAAAACCTCTTTTTTTTTTTTTTTTTGGTTCAATTATAATTAATTATAAATTCACAGTGAGTAATTTGCTCACGTTGTAATTGTTTTATTATCTGCGAGAAAGCTTCATCGATAAGTTCTCGTTAAGTTTTTTAACAAGTTCGTCCATGAGTAAAATGAACGTTTTCAAAAGTTAATTGTGTTACTCGCGTCTGTTCTCTCTCCTTTGCGAGAGACAAGAGCTCGGGATAGAATAGAAGAGAGTTAATGCTCTGATTATTTCATCGAATTTAGCGAACTGACCGCTGACACATCCTGACCGTGTCTGCTGCCTCGTTTTCCATCCCTCGACAACGACCTCTGTCTATCCAACACAACAGGGCAAATCGCTGTAGGTGGGAGGATGTGTACTGCATGCTCGCCGAGCGTACATTCCGCTCGTACTTGCGACGCGCATCTATTATGCAGCTGTAACATTTCCATGGAAATGTCCATATAAATGATCGCGGCTATTTTCACCGCTATAATTCGCCATTATTCTTCAATCATGAAATTTTATGCGTTTTTCGTGCGTCCACATTTGTGTTTGTTTGTTTTTTTTTTCGCGCGTGATAATGTCATCTTGAAAAGAAAATTACTCACAGTTAATTGGCACCATCTGCAATGCAGGCCGGTAATGCCGTTGTAACTCTTGATCGTTTTTCTGCATTTGGAACATTTCCCGTGACAATTACCTTCGACCCAGTGATGGAGCATCGTCTGTGCCGTCTTTTTGCTCTTGACGTAAGTGGCTATACAGGACGCCGGCGCTCTTTGCACACATCTTTCGTGCACCGTGTACTTGCAAACTGGTATTTCCGAGAAAGAAAAAATAAAAGGTTCTCATTTAAACGTTGTTTTTAAACGCGCAACTTGCAAATTGCGCAGTTTTACGTTAATACCCGTTTGTACAGTTTTTTCTTTTTTTTTTTTTTTTTTTCGCGCGTTACTTGCTGTCCGCGCGGCAATCGACACACACGTTAATTTAACTCGCTCCATTTTTTTTTTTTTTCCGTCACGAAACTACATAGACAGAGACAGAAATATATCTCTCGTTTCTTACTCACAAACGCAACAAAGCCCTTTCTTGCCGAGGCCAACGAGCATATTTAAACAGAGATTGCAGTACGCGGGTTTGCTGAAGTGTTTCAACCTCCACAAATGGTTCCCGTCCTCCTTCACGTGGGAATCCAGACCCAGAAGAACCAACAGAGGAATTGTCGTAAGGCCGCCTCTTTTCCACTCCTCCAGCGAGACCGTGCCGTCCGCATCGTAATCGATCTCGACCATCATATCCTGCAGAATCTGGAATTAAATCAGATTTCCAGCGGATCGATTTCGCATTTCGAACAATTTTTTAAAATTTCTTCAAAGAGATAAAAAAAAAAAAAAAATGGATCACAATATAGAAATGCGATTTTGTCTTCAAACTTAACGAGACCTCACTTTCATATCGATAAATGAAATGCGCGTTTATTAGCGAGGTTCACGTTGCGTGCGCTTTACGAACTTTAAATAAGACAAATGAAAGAGAAGAGTGAGATAACGTACGAACCGAAGTCTTCGTATAAAAGCGATCTTCTTTTTTCCTACCTACCGGTTTCAGCTCTGTCACATCCCAGCCGAGATACTCCGCGACATTCATCATTTGATTCACGATACAGTCGATCTCCTGTAGATACACGTGATAATAACATTAGTAACGAAAGATAATATATGGTTGCATTGATCGCGCAAATAAACTATTTTTATTTGATACATTGATAAGTACATGTTTACATCCACAACGTCTACAATTTTAATCCCGGATATATTTTCTAACCCTCTCCGCACGTGTTGCTTATTAAAGCCACAAAAGTTATTGATCGTCGATTCCACAGAGGGGACATTTCGTGTCCTTACATATGTCAAACCACACACACACACACACTTCACGTTCCCCAATACAACTTTTGATTAAGGGTTCGTGTTCGGGGCCGTTCATTTGGTCCGGGTGAATAGATTTGAATGAAAGCGGAGCGAGGAGCGTTTTCCGCGCCGCGTTTTCATTTCCATCTGCTTTTTCCACGCGGTTTTCCACACTATATCGGCATCGTGAATATTTATCGGCACGGCACCCAATTTGTACACACACACACCGCAATATCGGCGATTTATTCAACGATCTCATTATACACGTCGAAGCCGGGGCACGCTCCCCGTCCTCGCGACACGCTTTTCTCCCCCCCCCCCCCCCGAGCGACGTTCTTCTCTCTCGATCGTAATTTCACGCGTTAAACGAGCCCTCCGTGTTAAATGTATATATCAGGCGTCGGAATATAACGGCGCGACGCGCCCGATGAATTCCCGTCCCGTTATTTGAATGACGAACAAATTGGAAACGCCTTAACGCTATCGGAGATTTTTATACACGCGAAATTGTGTTTATCTCGATCCGGGACGAGATTACGCGTTGCGACAACTTCTAAAGCCCGTTTGATTCCGTGGAATCAAAATTTCACGAAACAATCTCTTTTCTGTCTTAAAAAAAGAGACTGGAAGATTTGTGAGATTCGCAAATTAATTGACAGTTAGTTGATTTTCGTTCACTTGAATTTTCCGTTCGTTCGAGGAAAAGAAATAAACGCGATGTTTATCGCGATTAGTGTGTTATCTTTACGATAATTGTGTTCCAAAAAAAACAGCTACGATACAATTTATTGCGATCGGGTGTAAAATGAATCGCCGTCTTCTTCGGGATACACGACGCGCGTTCTCCAACGTAACGTGCGGTTTTGCGCGATCCCGTCAATTGTCGGAAGGAATCGATGATGATGCGCGTCACACCGCGAAGCAACGGAAATTACACTTGTTCCGCGTTCAATTCACGTTGTAACGGATCGCACGGGGGTACAACATGTCACACAATTGACTGTACGTACTTATTATGAACGCGGCCAACACGGTGCGAGAACGGAAGAGTGAAAGAGAGAGATTGATTGATTGATTTTGCTTTATTATTACGCTCTGGGATAAGATCCCCTCAAGCGTTAAGAACTTTTACAAAATTTAAAAAAAACAAATAAAATTTATAAAAACAAAACAAAAAGAGAAAATATAAAATATAAGAAGAAGAAGAAGAAGTGAATATGAAATATTAACATAAAATCAACATAAAATTTCTAAACATTAGCGGCTAATAAATATTCAAAAAATTTTCTTTTGAAAGTATAGAGGCGTTCATTGCGTATGTCAACTGGAATTTCATTCCACGTATCAACAGAGTTACAGATAAATGATCGCCTGAAAAAATCTGTACGACATAACGGCAAGATAAGAGTGCCACTAACAGCTCTAGTGCCATAACTAGATTGTG